AGTAAGTAGGGTACGGGAGTAGAGGAGTAGTAACGAATACTACTTACTATTATTACTACTATAGTAGTTAGGTAGAGTTACTACTTACTATATATATATATATATATATATATAAGCCAGGCCGCAACAAATAGTCACATAATACTCTCTCTTCTCTCTTCTCTCTCTCTCTCTATATATATATATATATATATAAAGAGGATAGAGAAGGGGGAAAACACTTACAAGCATTCGTTGTTCATGAGTTAAGGTCTACAGTACTTCACTCATGACTCATTATCTTCCAAAGTCTATCAGAGGGTTACAATTGTTTCATAATATGTGAATTTTAATAATTTTTCTACAAGCTTGATTGACCTGAAATTTGGGTTGTATGTATATATAACCAACTCGAACCTATATAAAATATTAAAATAAAAAGGTAAAAAAATACCCTTAAAATATTTATAGCGGTAATTTGGTCATTTTTATGTTTGAATTATTTTTTATATCTTATTCAGATGCACATCACTAAGATGCACAGCTGCCCACAATTTTTGGTCAATTGGATTAGTAAAAATATATATTAAAGTTTAAACATTATCAAACAATCGTGACCAATCGATAAAATTTAGACATTATCAAACTTTCTATGGATTTGTCAAAAAAAAAAACTAATAAATTTAAATACTATCAGATAATTGTGATCTTTTAATAGATTTTGGGCGGTAATAGAACAGAGTTAAGTATTAAAGAACTTTATATGTGTGTGTGTGTATGGAAAAAGATAAAGTGCACAGCCTAGCTTAGATAAGCAAAATGCGCCAACGGCCCAGATTGAATATGTGCCGATCTGACGATCACAGATGCCCGGTAGTGTTTGAATTTTAATTTTTTTTCTATAAATCTAAATCACTTAAAATTTTAGGCGTGTTTTCATAAAAAATAGGTAAATATTTTAAAAATATTAAAAAAATATTTTACATGAAAAAATATTGACCAAAATACCCCTGTAAAGTTTCGGGGGTATTTTGGTCAATGTTGTTTTTGTAGATAATGTCTTTTTATATATTTTTATTACATGTGTCTTGATGAGACGAACACACAGCTAAAATCTGAAGTAAGTTGGATTTGTAAAAAAATAATTAAAATTCAAACACTACTAGACACTACCGGCCATCCGTGATCGTTAGATCGGCCAAGATTCAATCTAGGCCGTTGGCTCATATCTAAGCTAAGATGTGCACCATATCTTTTTCCTATATATATATATATATATACTTCCCGGGTCATCTAATTCCTTACCTGATTTTTTAACCCGTGAATTTTTGCAGGGGGGGCAACACTGACCCTAACGACGAACAGCCCTTATCACTTGCCTTGCAACTGTTCGAGGAAAATAAGAATATTAATATTTCACCTTTACTTTCACCTATCAATATGGGTTCTAGAGACACTTCTCGTAGAAATAAACAACCCATAAACAGTCAAATAATACCATATGAAAGGGAACAACCGCCTTTGGCAATCCGTTCACCTTCTCAATCTCCTGTGCATCAAATCACCTATCCTGAAACAACAGCTTCAAAACCCATATATTCTCCTGCACAAAGTAAATCTGCTACTCCATCCAATATACCCAGATCTGTCTACCTTGAAAGAGCTTATCTCATGGATATCACTATCGATGAGAAATATATTAATACTGAGCCTATAAAACTTGCTCCTCTTTATTTGCTCAACCATCTTAACCCTTCGAATGAGGTTAAAACAAGAGAATACTTTGAAGCAATATTAATGGAAACAGGATCTATTTCTGTAGTCCATTATTACCAACAAAATACTCGGACTATTGCATATAGTAAAGTCCAGATTAAAAATATACTTCCTTATGAAGAGTGGGGTTGTAATCCCGCCCATGGGAAGAAACTTCAAAATCCAGACTTTTCCTATAAGTATTTTAAATATGCTGAATATATAGAAGCATGGAACAAATTTTTCTATTATCAAAACCCCAACTATACTCATAGTTGGTATATTCAATTTAGATTACCAATATTAGAACGTTTTCCCACCTGGTTCAAAAATTGGTTTTTTGTGTGGGGATCAACTGTGCAAATTTTACAACCTGCATTCAAAGAAGTGCAAGACAAATTCCAAGCCTATAACCAGAAAGATGCCACCATAGACCATCATCTTTATTTTATGCCCTTATACCAAATACCCTGGATAATGAAATGGGACTATACCATTTCTCCCAATACTACCTTTGATTATACCTTTATACCCAGACTTGGAAAGACCATTTCAGTAAAATGGTGGGACATTTTCAATATGGACCCATCTTCACTCACTCCAAAAAGAATTCCTCCAAAACCTCTGGAAAAATCCCAAAGCCAGAATACAGCCAATACTTCTTTCGATTTTCCCACATACCTAAGAAATATGTTACAGGCAAATCCTAATGCCTCAAAAGAGACATTAGAAAACCAGATGAAAGAAATATTTGCAGAAGCTGGGAGAAAGCCAGTCTCCTCTGATGAAACCGTACAGTCCTCTCCCAATATCAACCAATACCTCAATCTCCCAATAGAAGATCCGAAAGAAACTGATCCAGATGAAGATGAAGACGACCCAAATGAATTCAGCCAACGACCATAAAAGACCATCACCAAAATCAGAATTACCTTCATCATCCCCGACAAGATTGTACAAAGATACTCCATTAAAACCTGTCAATATCTCCACCGAAGCTGTCACCTTTATCCAAAAGACAAAAAGCATCAGGAACAGTAATCACC